TCTCCTTGGCCTATTGGTTGAGAGCTTTGACTTCCAACTAAGAGGTTCAGGATTCGAGTCTATGTGTATGTGTTGTGTGTGTGAGTTTGCCTTAAATGGCCTAAATGTCCAAAAAATATATATATATATATATTTTAAGTTATATTAATTAAGTTAATTATATCATTAATTATTAAATTAAGTTAAATAAGATAATTAATTTATGTTCTAATTATACTATTAATTATTTAATTAATTTACTTAATTATTAATTTTTTAAATTATATTAATTAAGTTAATCAATAATAAATTAATAACTTAGAGGCGTCTAGGGTTTGGTTTCATAATTTCTTTCCGCCGTTGCTGTTCGGCTTCGTTGCTTAGCAGGAGGTGTAGAGATTGCACGCGTAGCTACTTCGGCTCCTTCGACGATTTTCCCTTCCTGTCGGTTCGGAAGTTACGACATTTTGATCGGAAGCAACAACGGGAGCTCGCTGGCTGAGAAGGATCTCCCTTTCGCGCGCTTCTTCGGCCGAATCCCATAAATCCGTCGAACCGAGGGATTTAGTAAATCCGAGATTTAACCCGTAAATCCTTAAATCCGGGATTTACCCGTCGCCGAGATTTAGCGAGCGCACAAAAACCGTTTTTGCTGGATTTAGAGTAAATCCGACTTAAATCCCACTGTAAATCCGATACCAAACAGCCCCTTAGAGCCTTGATATAGGGTCTGCTTTTCACGCCGCCATTTCTTCGTTGCTTCGGCTACGTTTGGTTTGTGTGAAGTGACGTTTTAAAAGGGTTCTGAACCTTCTTCGTCTCCTTCGACGACGTTGGATCGGAAGTCTCTGGAGCTTGCGCTAAGGTAAAGAACTTTCTCCGTTTTGCGCGTTTCCTCTCCGAAATAGTGTAAATCCGCCTGATTATCGGATTTACTATATTCGGAACTTAAGGTAAAAGGGTGAAGGAACGGGGTTTAGGAAAAACGCTTTGTAAGTCTTTGTCTTTCTGTTGAACCGAGTCCCGACTTTTATTTTCCTTCGGGCTTCATTTCCATATTTTTCCTGGTTTATGTGACTAGGTTTGGTTACTAATTTGTTTTTTTTTTCTTGTTTTTTTCTGAACAGGTGCGGGAACAGCTTAAAGCATTGGTTTGAGGTTGGATATGGGAATTGAACCAGTGCGTTCTGACATGGCAATTCAAGAAGTGGAGGATGGCTATCTTAGCGACTCTGCTGTATACTCCTCCATTGCTGAGATACTTGAAAGGGTTTCCAAGGTATCAGTCAGTGTCTAATTTGAGCTAATTGATTGAAAGTTATTTTGTTTAATTTATTGATTATGGAGTGCACTTTCCATCAACAACCTTGCATTCTTAAATAAAAAAATTGAATTTTATCTCTTTTATGTTCATGTCATTTTAATAGACAAAATATGTGTCGCTGTGAATAGTTTTTTTTTTCAGTTCTATTGAAAATGCTAGATTGAAAATCAAGTTAGTTTGGGTTTCAAACACAATTACAGAAACAAAAAACACTGAGACGGAAACAATCCCACTCTGAATATTCCCTATTATCTTTCAAAAAACATATCATAAAATGTTTTTTTAATTATTTTCTTTATTTGCTGTTATTGTCCTTTCCATGACCCTGTTAGGAGAATAGATGCATTAGATTTGGCCTATGTTAAGAAAGGTAGAGGTAGACCTAAAAAGATTTGGTTAGAAAATTTTAGAAATGACCTTTCTTTATTAGATTTAAATGAGATTTTGACTCTTAACAAGACAAAACAACAACAACATCAAGCCTTTGTCCCACTAGGTGGGGTCGGTTACATGAATACTTTTTCACCATTGCGTCCGGTTAAAAATCAAATTCTCATTTAAATCTAATAAAGAAATATCATTTCTAATATTTTCTAACCAAGTCTTTTTAGGTCTACCTCTACCTTTCTTAACATAAGTCCATAAGTCAAATCTAATACATCAACTTTCCTAACCGGGTCATCGGAAGGCCTCCGTTTTGGTTGATGAGGATGCTCAGGTGGATGAGTGGATTTACCCTTAGAGATATGATACGAAATGAGCATATACGTGAAAAGGTTGGAGTAGCTCCAGTAGATGATAAGATTAGAGAGAGTCGCCTTAGATGATTTGGTCACATAAAATGGCGCCCTTCCGATGACCCGGTTAGGAAATTAGAGGTATTAGATTTGACTTATGTTAAGAAAGTTAGAGGAAGACCTAAAAAGACTTTGTTAAAAAATATTAGAAATGATCTTTCTTTATTAGATTTAAAAGAGAATTTAACTTTTAATAGGACACAATGGAGAAAAAGGATTAATGTAGCCGACCCCACGTAGTGGGATAAAGTCTTGATGTTGTTGTTATCAAAAGACCGTTGTGATGAATTTGCCCCTATTTTCTTAAGCTAAATTATAAAAATGTGTTGAATTCTACAACAAAGTTATGCGTCATTATCAAAATAACACCTTGAGTGGATATGTATATTTTTGTATCCTTAACTACAATTCTACTTTGATTTGGTTATAACTAAAGATAACTATAGTTCAAACGAAAGAAATACATTTTTGGATTTTAAAAAAATATACAAAATTTTTCTATTTTTTAATTTGTTATCTAGAGGTGCAAAATTGAATGTTTTGATTATGGTTAACTAAATGGTGGTAGTAGATACATAGTTGCAAATGAGCTAAGTGAAATTATGCTGTTTGTTTAGTTTATATTTTTATTGTAATTGGTTGCAAAAATAAATAAAAATTGTCATGCCACTGCAAGTTTTTGTAAAAGGAAATTTATTGTATCTTGAGGGTACTTTTTTCAACTCTCCCTTTTTTATTTTGTTATTTGAAACTTAACGGACCCATTTCCCAGTTGACGTGTAATGCAGCAAAGAGCTCCTGCTTGTCTTGGGGATTTGTTATAGATGGTGATACCAAATTTTCGATGTGTTCATCCATTTTAGATTGCCTTCTAATAGTCTACTCATCACCATTGGAGATCCCTCATTCTAAATCTAAGGTGCAAAAGAGTTTACTGGGAGCAACTCTGCCTAGTGATGTCTACCATCCTGAACATCATTTTTATTTGCTTTTTTGAATTTGAATGACGGATTAGTTTTAAGTACTAGTACTTTAACTGCATTTCACTTCTAATGCTTTATTGGGTATTCCCATATGATCTATTAAATTCTTGAAAAACCACAAATTTTAGTCCACTGGGGTAGAAATATCTGAGGCTTGCATATCAAAATCGTCTGAGTTTCCTGCAGTAGCTGGCTTGTTGAAAGTTACTATTGACTCTTCAGTAGCTTCTGTCCATTGAGTTGGTGCAGCAGAAAAATTCTTTAATCCCTGAACTATGGTATCCAGTTAACCATCAGCACTTTTACTATCCTTTACTATCACTAAGTGGCTGTGCAAGTGATTTTTCTTCCAATTCCAATCCAACTCATTCTCTATTAATGTGTAGTGGTGTCAGGTATCTGTTTTGTGCATATATTTTGCAAGAGAATTCACTTTCACGTTGACCTGCTGGTTTTAGTTAATCTAGAAACTATATAGTTTTTTAGAGCTATTTAATCTTTAAATATTTGAACACACTAAACTAAATTTAACTTGTAAAACCATGCGTAAACTTATCAAAGAATGATATTTAACTTTATGGATTTCATTTATATTAAAATTAGCAGAAGTTAAATTTGGAAATGTATGTGCGCTATTTTCTTCCCGTGACATGATGGCTTATTAGATGTATCATGTCCTACTTTTGCTGTTGTTTGAAATATAAGCATATTTCCACACCAGACATTAAGATTGTCACTCTTTGTCAAGCCTACATGGGAGATGTTGAGTTTTGGCGCATGCATATGGCTAACTTTAAAGCTTGTGCCAAAACCAATGGGAATTAAGGCTTCGTTTGGGACGGCTTTTTTAGTGCTTCTTAAAATGGCTTTTTAGTGAAAAAATCAAAATTTTTGTACTAGAAAGCCGTTTTAAGAAGCAATAAAAAAGTCAAGTTACACTCACCAAACTTCTCCTTTGCCGCCACTTAGCTCTAGTAAACCAAGCATCTTGGTTGAGAGTTTAGAAAATGTTGTTCTCAAGGTTCTAATTTGTGATGGTAGCTTTTTTTTTAATGGATTGACTCTAGGATGCTTGATTTTTGAAAGAACACCATGCCATTTCTTCTGCTGAGAAAATGAATCAGATGACATTTTATCATGAAACCAAGTGAGTCTCTTCTTATAGATCTCTCTAGGCTTGAACATGAAATTACTTTGTTCTTATGAAGTAGGCATAAAACCACTACAAGTACTTACCCATTTTACTCGATCAATATATTCAATCTAATAACGCCGTTTATTTGTGTAACTGCTGTATTTATTATGTTTGATGCAACATTTTGTATTAAAATTTGCAGGCTATAAAGTTTTTTTTTTCTTTTTTGTTATTGTTATATTGATATGAGGTTGTCTTTCTGCCGGTGGTGATAATTTGATTGCAGCTGTTGGTAACGTTTGTAGAGTGCATGTTGGGTTTGGAAAGTAATGAAATTGGAGAATATCTTTCGAGCACATTGCTGTCAATGGTGGTTGATCTTCTTGTAGATTTAGATGTAAGTTCTGATTTCCTTCTGCATCCTTTTTGTTGCTGACTGTCTTACAAGCTAATCATATGGGAGGTTCTTTTAATTTTTAAGGTAAATATAACTTGGGAGGATATCCTAAAGGAAGATCATAATAGAAGCATATTTGATATGGAGGTGGAAGACTTGGAGGACAATGCCGAGAAGAATTCAGTTGGCAGTCAAATAGTTTGCAGAAAGGTTCATTCTACATGTGCAAAAAGTTTTAATGACATGTGAAGCATTGGTTTATGTTAGTTTCTGCTGCTAAGCGTAATCTTTTCCTACCCAGGGTGAAGGTTTTGGAGATCGTAAATACAATATGACTGACAAATTGGATTGTGTTATGGTGATCGTCTGTGAGCATATCAAATCATCAGCTTGTGATGGTCGATTAGTGAAGGCTAGTTTTTGTCCCCCTGTTTTTCACTCAATTGCTATATTTTACTTTTTTTTTTGCATTGTTAACAAGTATGGTGCTTTCTGAATAAAGTTTCCTTTCAAATGTGATAGTTGATCCTTTTTGAAGTGACATGATGAATGGAACACCATAGGGCTTAAGTTCTTATAGAATTTCTAACCCTTTAACATTTTCTCAGTATCCATGCTGATAAATTACTTCTAGTCTACTTTTTGTTGGAACTTTTGATTTCACATATCTTGATAGTTATTGATAATACTATCACCTTTTTGGATGTGAGGCTTGTAAATTAATAGTTGATCAAGTTTAAATAAAATTTTGACAATATTAGTGCTGAAAGTTAAAATTGTGTTGATAATGTTGAAAAGTGAGCATGTATTCTTTTGGCTTTTTGTGCTATTGACTTTTTTTTATATCATCTTTCTTGCACTCACGGCATACTTACTATATCTTTCTATTTTTAGATAATGTTTTGTTTTGAGTACTTTTTTCTGCTTTTTCTTTTAAAGATGGTCGTGTGACTTCTCTATCTATTCCTATAGATCTTTGAGACACTGATAGAGTCCTTTCGAAAAACTATGCTGAATGCCCACAAGTCGAAATTTTCACAGGTATTCTTTAGTTTGCTTATTCTTTTCCTTTTTTACCTAAATATTCTTTTTATGTTTTGTTTATCTGTAGCAAAAATCATTGTCAGGATTAATTGATTACATGAGTTTTTTTAGTTTTCTGCACTTTATTTTTATTTAATCACCATAATTTACTTGCTGTCATGCAGTTCATATTCTTCTATGCTTGTTCGCTGGACCCTGAAATTTGTGGCTTGAAGTTTGCTATTCTTCTCACTGATATCTTCGTTTCAAAAACCGAGGACCCAATTTCAAGGTACTGTGCAATTTTTAAGCTGAGTCTATCTCTTTGATGCTGGGATTTGTTTTAAGAATTTTTTCGGTAGGTTATGTACACCCCTTAATTATTCATGGGAGTATTCTGTTTAAATCTAAGTTTGATATAATACTTACAATTTTTGTAGGCATCTTGAAATTAGTTTATTATAGACTGGCAAAGGATATGATATTTTAATTTATATGAAGAAGTCGAAGGTGAATTTGTTATGGTAATACATTAATTTATTATGGGTTGGAAGGTTTTAGTGTATATATTAGCAAAGCTAAGGCATGTGAAGTTAAGATTAACTTATTATGGGTAGGTAGGTTTTAATTGTATATAATCTGGAACTAAAAAAAGGGCATTCCTTTGCTTAGGCTCCCGCTGGTACAAAGTCTAATGAGACATATTTATGTAGTCTCAACAACATATAGCATAGTGATCCAAATCCACCCAAATAGGATTGGTGTTGAAAACCTTTCAAGGGTACTGTAGATAGTATGAGTTTGATGTCTAATTATTTGTCATCTAATTGCACTGTTTAGGTTTTAGAAATTTTTTTTTCCTCGACCTATCTATCCATGCAAAGGCATGTCAATCAACTGATTACCTTCTAGATGTTCAGAAGATTGCAGATTGATCTCACAAGCCTTCCCAAGAATTTAACAGTTTCTAACAAAGTTGATCTAAGGATTAAATAAGCATGACCCTATGTGAGTGAATGAATAGCCATGCATTAGAATTTTGGAAAAAATCATTCAAAATCCCTCAACTTTCCTCTCCATGTAACTGGCCCATGTAGAATAGATAAGGTTAGTTAATAATTTGATGCAAGGCTCAACAATTCATGCCTCCGTTGAAAATCAAAATTTGAACTCCCTTGCATGATGATCGGGCTGTCCTTGACTAGTTTTTGTGTTGTGACTTGTCCAACTCCTTCAAGAATATTTTTTTCAGCTTTTGGGCACTCTTGGGAATCTTTTGGAGATCTCAAAAATCTTCTTGAAGTTTCAAAATTATTGTGGAATACTCCATAAAACCTTGAAAATTTATGTTTTTGAGAGATCCTCCAAAGTCGCTTGGGGACCTCTTCTTAAAATGGATGTATATCTTTGAACGAAGAATGTCAGCATGCATGTACATCTAAGAAAGATGACCTAGGAATGGGTTTAGTGAGAAAGATTGTGAAGAGTATTGGAGAATAATTGAGATGGTTTGGACATGGAATCTGAGAAGCAATGCATTTAATTGTTGACCCTTAGTGTGCAAGAACTAAAATGGAAAAAGTGGTAGGCAAAGCTAAGAAGCTTGAGCTTGTTTGAAAGGATTTAACTATAATCAATTCCAACTGCAACACTTAAAAAGAAATGAATGGACGAGACATTTCATAAATCCAAGCTTAAATGTTGATTGTGCGGCTCATAATTGTGACTTAACAAATTATGTTATAGATAAAGTTCTTTCTTGGTAGAAAATTTGATGGAAACTTTGGACATAATTATGTCTCTTGTGGTGAGAGATCCTGCTTTGGAATTTGGATGGCGCTGTATGATAGTATATACTTTTATTAAATTCAATAAATTTTTGAGGATAAACCTGTGCTAACAGTATTTTCCATTTAGATGTATTAATAGGGTTTCTTTTGAACTCATGTTCATTCCATTTATGCTGAAATTTTGTAGACTCTAGTGTGTAACCATATATGCTTGGATTGATTCCAAAATGTCAAACATTTTGACACTTGAAAACTTAGTATTGTTATATGCATTGTTGTTACCAAGTTTTTAAATAAATTTATTTATTTGTTTGGCATTTCATACAATCCACCCTTAATTAGAGTGCTGAATTTGAATTCTTTTTGGATAACTGCAGAATGAGTGCAATTGCCTATGTTGCTAGTTTTTTGTCTCGAGCAAGGTTTATTTCTTCTGCGGTGGTTTCCAGCATAGTTAAAAGGTTAGTTATTAGGTTTTTATCCTGCCAAACCTTTTATCTCTTGTTCTTAAACATTCTTGGTATGTTGTAGGCTCTATTCACTAGCATTTATTTTTAGTTAGCCGCATTCTGTTAACTCTTTTCTTGGAATGCTTGTTCAGGTTAGTGGAATGGTGTTATGATTTTTGCTATGTACAAGCTAGTACCGAAAGAATAAAGAACCCCAGAGGTCATCGCCTCTTTTATGCTGGGTGCCAGGTAAACATTTTATTTGATGAATTTTTGTTTCACAGTGCATTTTTTTTAATGTTGAAGATGAAAATTCAAATGGTTTGGTTGATTTTCTCTACGTTGTTTAGAATATATATATATATATATATATATATATCCCCAATTATTTTGAGGGACCACTTTGGTCCCTCAACTCGTTCAAATGGGACTTTTTAGTCCTGTCATCTAATCGTAGAGTTGATGGTGTTAAGTATGAGGGTAATTTAGTATTTTTAATTAAAATATTTAATAAGTCTAATTTGTTAGAGATTATAATTTAATTTTTGTAAAAAAATTATTTAACTTTTCTTTAATTAAAAATTTATACATAATTTTAGTTTTAATCATTATACATAATTTTTTAACCCTTCTACATTGTTCGTTGCTCTTCGACTTTGCCTCCTTTGGGTGACGGGTAGAGTTTTAAACGACTAGCTAAATAACTTCTTCACCTCCTTCAACAACGTTCCTTCCTGTTGGATCCGAAATCACACTTCACCGTTCATCTGTTCTATCGGAAGTAACGATGACGATGGGAGCTTGCTTGTTGCGAAGGTAAAGGTTTTTGTTTGAGTAGATCTAAAACTGAATACATGGAGTGTAATTTTAGTAGTAATAGATCTAGTGGTTGGATTGTGACATTCAATGATCAAGTCATTAAAAAGAGTACATGTTTTATATATCTTAAGTCTATTGTTCAAAGAAATGGTGAAATAGATGATGTATTATTAGTAGAATTCAAGTTGGATGGTTGAAGTGGTGGATTTTTTTTTTTTAAATGGTTGAAGTGGAGGAATTTATCGAGTATGTTTGGTGATAGACAAGTACCCTCAAACTTAAGGGAAAATTTTATAGGATGTTTGTGAGACTTGCAATGCTTTATATTGTAGAATGTTGGCCATTAAAAGGGTAAGCATAAAAATAAGTTTAAGTATTGGAGAGATGAGGATGCTCAAGTGGATTATTGGCTTTACACTTAAGAGATAGAATGAGAAACGAGTGTATAGTTGAAGAAGTTGGAGTAGCTCTAGTGGCAAATAAAATTTGAGAGAGTCGCCTTAGATGTTTTGGTCATATAAAATGTTGGCCTTCTGATGTCGTTGTTAGGAGGTAGATCTATTAGATCTAGCCTATATTAAGATACATAGAGGTAGACCTAAAAAGATCTGGTTAGAAAGTATAAAAAATGACACTTTTTATTAGATTTAAATGAGAATTTGACTATTAATAGACAAGGGAGAAAAAAGATTCATGTAGCTGACCCCACATAGTGGATAAAGGCTTGTTATTATTGTTGTATTTTTAGAAACCGAAATAAAAAAACAAAAGTTGTTGCCAAACAACCGTAAGAGTTTGGATCATTAGTGACGACGCTTGTTCACAAAGCAATTGCTGATGGATTAGGCCCCCTCAAGGCAAACAATCTTGGCGAATTTCCCCCATAAGCCCTTCCCAAAAAAGATTTATGTACGTTAAATTGACAACCTTGTCATATACCAATCATTTGAATCATGAGAGATTGGGAGCTTGTGCTCCTATTATGTGGTCATGAGTTTGAGGCCTTGCATGTTTGATTTTGTGCGTGAGTTTGTGATCAAATAAGTTCAAAATCCAAAAAATAAAAGCATATGTTGGAACTATTATCCAATGTTTTAATCCATATGTGCGTTCAAGTGGTGGGCGTGTTAGTCCCATGCAAACTTATAGCACAGTTTTCAACCACCTAATATGATGCCTCACACAACTAACCTAGCAAGGACTGGTCACTGTGTCCCCAAATAAGGCCTGTAAATCTTGCACTCGTTCACCATTTCTGAACTAACTGAACTTTTGGAACTTGAGGCTGCATGTATTGGAAATCAATGCGTACCATCAAACTACGTTAGGTTTCATAAATAACCATAGACAATGTGCCTCTTTTTGGTGTTAAATTAAGGTGCAATTAATCTGCTTGTAATTTCTGATATTATATTCTTTCTCGGTGGGCATCAGCCCTTGCATTTTCACGTGATATATGGTTTTTCTATCTATACTTAAAGCTAACTGCATTTTGATTTTTCCTTTGTAGGCTGTGATGTATATCCTTTGTTTCCGAATGCGATTATTGATGGATATTCCAGAGCTCAAGGAAATACTTTTTAATTTGCCTTTAGAAGCGATCTTATGTCATCCTCTGGATCCTTTGAGGGTATGCCCTTCACTATCATATTCAAAGTTCATAGAAGGTGCATGATATCATATGAAAAGTAAATTTTCCAACCGTTAATATAGTTGGGCTTATGGCTTATGTGCATGTCAGCACTATTCTGTGTGATTTAGGCTTCGTTTCTGTGTGATTTAGGCTTCGTTTGGTTCGGCTTTATACCTGCTTCTTAAAGTTGCTTTCTAGTTAAAATTTTTAAATTTTTGTACTAAAAAGCTGCGTTAAGAAGCAGGAAGAAAGCCGTCCCAAACGAAGCCTTAATTTGTGAATTTCTGATTGTGTGAACTATGAGCTTGTACATCAAGGGGCTACTTTCACTGGGTTCTCCTTAAAGCCATATTTTAAGCTGCATATAATATTATCGTCAGCAGGTGCTGTCATTTATAAAGCTGCTTAGGATTCTCTATGCCTGATTGATGATCTTTGCTTCTTTTTTTTCATGTGCAGGTGTGCTTGCCTACGATTGTGCAGGAATTCCTACGTCAAGCTATGGCCGCTCATTTACTAAAGAAACCTTTCTTGTCCTGCGATCCAAATGACTTGCTGGAGTCCGAATTCTCAAAAGCCTTTGGTGGGGTTGAGAGGCTTGATATGTTCTTTCCTTTTGATCCATATTTGCTAAAACAATCTGACAGGTTTGTTAAGCATGCCACAGCTAAATCCCCGTTTTCCTTGTTTTATTTTTATCCTATAGTTTTTCTATCGTTGTATACACAAATCTTCCATTATTATTTCTTTCTGAAGCTGTTTTCCTTCATCTCAAATATTTATTTTTGTTTGGATGGTTACGTTTTTATACTGCGCTTGTGCTTTTCTTAAGATTCATGAGGCCCAACTTTGAGTTCTGGTCGATGGTGAAGAAAACATATAGTAATTTCAACAGTGATGATGATTTCGATGACCTAGACCCAGAGTCTGCTGATGAGGGAAGCCATGATGGTCTTGATGATGAAGAGCTTGTTGATGAGGACGGTGAAGATGATCTTGGGTGTTCCATGAACAACATGTCAATTACTCCAAGACCAGTTTTTGAAATGGCCACGGCCAGTGGGGGGAGCATTCCAATACCCAGTAGAATGCCTGCCAGAATCAGACCATCTGTAAGCCCTATCTAGTCACCCCTCATACAATCAAATATTGATTCATTTGATTATTTGGAGGATAGATGCACTCAATCCAGTTCTTTGATGATCTAGAAAGAGCAGTTATGTTTTCCGTTTAGGACAGCTTTTTTATTATTTTCCAAAACAACTTTCTCTTGAAAAATTTCTATAACTGTTTTAAAAAATAATACGAAAGTTGTCCCATACGTCCCAAACGAAATATAGGAGAAAAAAGTAGTAATTAAGTAATTTCGCCTGAAGAATGAGATGCTGCATTTTCAAGTTGTAATAGTACAGCCAGTACCCTAAATAGTTCGGAACACAAGCATTCATCACTGTTGGCCTTCAAGAGCCACAGAAAGTGTTTGTTAGGCAATTTTTTATATAGTTTGTTTATTTTGGACCTTTCAGACCAAGTGTACCTGAATTTTTTTGCAAAATTTTCAATGAAATAGCTTTGTATCTTTAATTTCAGTTACATCAGGAGTTATTTCTTTGGGATGATTGATGACTGATGCTTTTTTTTTTCTTATTCATGATTTTCTCTTCTTCAATTTCCTCACAATTTGGTAAAAGTGTAGAGTACCTGGGCTATTACTGTAATAATAATGACCAATTAGTTTCTGACACCATTAGCTTTGCAAAAAAAACTGTAATATGGTGGAAGTTTGACTAATAACAAACTTGAAGGAACCTTTTGCAAATAACAATTTGTTAACTTCAGCAAAAACATACATAATCTATAGCATGTGTAGGCCATGGTTTATCTATTTTTTTAGGATTTGTTTGGGATAGTTTTTTTATTGCTTTCTATAAAAAAATTTCATTATAAAAATTTCTAATTAAAAAAATTTAAGCTGTTTTAGAAAACAGTAAGAAAGCTATACCAAATGAAGATGAAGACGTCTTTCTTTCTACTTCTTAAAGCAGTTTTATAGCAGAAAAATATTAATTTTTGTATTAAAAAGTTGCTTTAAGAAGCAGGAATAAAGCCGTCTCAAGCAAAGCGGTAGTCAACCAATATGTTTGGTTAATCATTGATCACATGAGTGAATTTTCTATTACAAGAAGCATTAATGTAACTTGAATAAGGGACTGGTAACCAAGGTTGGTAAGTTTCATGTATTTCCTGAAGCTTAAAAAACTAACGAATCAGAGACCTTGGAGATCAAGAATTTGTTAAATACTTAAACAAATCACATGCTGACAGACTTTATATGGCGTAGGGAGAACTTTCTCTTCTCTTATTTTTTCTTCTTTTCCCACTTCTTCGCTGTCATTTGTTCTTAAAAAATGGTTTTGCGCAGAGATTAGTGATTCAGGAAGGAATATACTTCGTTGAATTGGTTAAATGGATGGCATACGCTGTAAAATAGTTTTTTTTTTTTTGAAGCATTGAGATTCTACACAGAATGCTTTTCATGTTCACTAAAAATCACTTCATCTATAATTCAAATCTTTTCCTCAAAAAATTAATAAGGCATATAAATCAATAAAACTATTTGCAGCAATACAACTTCAAAATTCCAAAAAAAAAAAATGCATATTCAAGGATGTCTCGATGCCAATCTGAAGGCGTCATGTCATCCAATGTATAGTATATTAGATGATGTAGTACGTCCGAATTAATCTTCGAACGTGTTTGAATGCTGCACAGAATAATTTCTCATACTCGAGACATTAATGTTGGTCAAAAAAAAAAAAGAGTGAATGATTAAAGCAGACAGAAAGTTAAAGAGAACTGTGTTTCTTAATTTTTTTTTTCATTCAAATAATGTGCGGTCGAGTTTGACCAAATGGTCACTGTTAAAGAATTTTTCTTCTGCTTCTTTCTATTGGCAGATGCTCCACTTCTCTTCAACAATATTCTTTTTTTAGTGGTCATTGCCCTTTTTTATTTTTTTGGTGACGAGAAAGCACTGTTTTTAGGCCAGTGAAAACTCCAGTCGACCTAGCATGCACCCCACCCCAACTTACATGGGTCAACACTTAAGACTTTCACTGCTTGTCAAGGGATTCGAACCAGGGACCTGGACTTTGCCCAGCCGGCTCTTCATCACCCGAACAAGCAACGGTGAGTACTGCCCATAATTTTAAGTGCTTGAAAACCAACTGTGCTTGGTCATCATAAATGAAGCAGGAATTACTTCACTGCCAGTCTTTCAATTTTGTTCTTTCATTCTCCTAGAACAAGTTGAAGGACAATGGCTAAGAATCTTCCTATAAATGTTCCTTTTCTGCAAGTTATCAAAAGCACTTTATGTATTTTCATGTTCAGGCTTTTAAGATCAGCAGCATCTATCTGCTTTAAAATTTTATTTGGAATAACTTTGACCATCACTATTTTCAAAAAATATATATATAAGAGATTAAATAATTTGATTGAATAAAAAATTATTTTGATATGAATATTTAAGCCCAAAAAGAAATAGTAAATCATGATTTACAAAATACAAATGAACACAAAGGATTTATTTGGAAAACCCAAATATGGAAAAAACCACGAGGGAGGGAAAATATTAGAACAACGCGAGAAAAAACAAACGAAATTTCAAAATTATCCTTACAACCAAAATTTAAACCCCTCGAGGGGGGCGCTACCCCCTTGAACCCACGACATATTTACAAAGCGTACGATGGTCAAGAACTTGAACAAATAAGGCTCGAATCAAATTCAAGGCAACTCCAATAGAATTCATAAGTCATACAGTAAAGACAAGAAAGATGGCATCTGAACTTAAGCTTAGAAAAATTATTTTGCCGTAAGAAAACTTCATTCCTGGCAATTTTGTAAGAGAACCAACCATGCATGATAATTCAAGCTTGAAACTCTTCAACACAAAGATGAACAGTAAGATAACATTTGTAAAGAAACAATGGCATTAAGCTTCTTAATGTAGTCAGTACAAAATTGTCAGTAATAAAATTCTACAGAACAAAAATTCATATAACCGATTCCACATAATAAGATAAAGATTTGATGTTGTTGTCGTTGTAATGTTTGAACCCTCCCGTAACGGAAGAAAAGCTTGTTATTATGGTTGTCCTTATTTGATCTTGATATGATTATTCTTGTAACTTCAGATAAGGTTCCATAAGTCTTTTAGTTCTTTTTTTTTTAATTGTTTTGCTTGAAATTGTGAACTTAAATTAAAGTAGTAGGGCAATCAAGTAGGTCCTGATGACAATTGAACACTATATACTGCATGTGATTTCTCATAAATATAGTCTTACCTTCACCTGAAAGCCATTAACTCAGATCACCATAGAAGTAAACAAATCACTACTCCTAGTCACCTTCTGACTAAAGGTCTCAACTCCAATGCAAGCTGATCAAGCAAGTATAAGAATTATATGGTGCTGCACCAATGCCCTTGGAAGAATCAGCAAATAGTGCAGAGGCTTGTAAAGTTCAAATGAGTCATGTAGCACTATCAGCAAGATTTACTAGATCCGTGAAGCCCTGAACATTTTGAAATACTTCTTCCATGTCAATATTTCAATCTTGCAGGCATTCAGTGCATGTTCTGAATGATTTCTACTGGAGTTGTTACTTTCTTTTATGCGTTGCAACATACTATTTGAGTGAAAAAGGAACAATTTTCTCATTATTTAGTTAAAAAACATACATCTTTGGTATCAGAATGAACATTATGACCCATAACAAATTTCACAACATTCATTTGTTGATAATTTTGTATTGATGAACAACATTTCATAAGCATGAAAAGCAATTAAGTAAAATTTCTCAACGCAAGCAGTGAAGGATAAGAGAAGCATAGTGGAAAACGAAGTTGTGATAAAAAAAGCTGCTATTTTGCATAATAACTCTGAATGAACATATCAATTTTGACCCCTTCTATCGCTATGAGCCAAATATTTGACAAGGCATGTTGACCTTGGGGCCACTGGACTGGGCAGGATATGACCAGTCTAATGGATGGCCCTATTGTTTCATTAACAATGTTCTACCCGGCCGTGCCGGGAAGCTGTGATAGGCAGGTTCACTGCATGTGGAACCCACCTGGCCCTGAGTACCAACAAAAGCTTGCCAGACTCATGCAGCTTGACTTACCAGAACACTTGGATCATATTTTTGAATGCTTTTAGAAATGGCGAGTGACTGCAGTGGAGGCATCTCTCACAGTAGGGACAGCAGTGGGCCAAAACCAACAAGGGAAAGAAATAAAATGATTGAACTCTATACCAAAGAGCATTTCTCCTCTTCTCTCTGAGTCTCAACATCATGGCATTCATGCTAGAATCCACTACCTCACTTTTTTCCATGGAAAAGAAATTCTTCTCTCATTGCTTAGTGGATAGAAAGGGGCCATCATCATGCAAGTACATAATTACTAGAAAATATTGTTCTCTCTCTCACACACACACACAGAGTCATCAAATCATTGATATCCTGTTAATCTTTTAGAACATTCAGAAATCAGTAGAACTGCTGTCTTAAACAAAAGGCAAAGTTCCATATGGAAAAGACCACTCCCTAACTAAAATGCTAGTGAAATATAATGTTTTGAATAGTTGAAATATATGCTAGTGTAGAGATATAAAATTGTTGAACATCATCCATAGCCTTAAACTTTGGGTTGAAAATGGGTTTAATCATTGGCGTATCTGGCCCAACTTCAATTAGTGTATTGTTAAGGCTTTACTAGTATTATCAAAGTTGTGATTCGGGTTAGATCAAATGATTCATGTATTTTGTGGCTCAGTGGTTCATATGGGTCTTTTGGTACCATTCATCATGGCTAACCAAAGTTCAAGAGTGGGTGTCCCCCATAGAACCACCATGTGATTTAGTGAGCTCTTAGTGCTTGATACTTGTTAATTTATATGAATTTTTGTTTAAAAAATGATAATTGATGTAGAGTTCTTGCATAAGGGAGAGATTATTAAGACAAGTGAAAGTAGTGAAATTAGTCCTACATCACATTATTGAAAAATATATTGGTGTAAAGAACCAAGTGGTTGACCCTTACTCATAGGCTTAAGATTTTGGATTCCTATTTGACCATTAGTTTATCTTGGTGTAGAGTTACCAAATGATTGGCCTTACACATATACTTAACCTTTTGGATTGAAAATGAGTGTGACCACAAGTGTATCTAGCCCAACTCTGAGCCCCTTTTGGTTCATACTCCTTAAACGGTATGAAATTTCGATCAATTTAGGAGTTAAGATTGGGTGATTTATGCAACCTCATTCCTATATCATAAACAATCTGTTTTTTTCTAATTTGATTATAGTAGAGTATCACTAATTGCTAAGAGTATTCAAATCATAACCCTACTAATTACAAAGAATCAGCACTCACAACCTCCATGAACTAGCTACTCCTACAATCATAAAAAACAGAAAGTGATCAAGTAGAAAGAGCATCAAAATATGAATTTGATTGATGAAATTCCAATAACCACCACCATGAAACAGGAACAGATTATGAAAATAAAAAAGAACACCTTTCAGGTATCATAAGAGCTCCTCCTCATCAGCCATGGCAAGCCCCCTTCAGAATTTGATGCATCAGAGATGGGGAGCTTACCTTTCTTATTAGGCCACAGCCATATCTTAGAAACTGAAAAGCTCTCACCTTTGCTCCCAGCATGAAGTCTCTTCCCCTCAGAAGTACCATCCTCTGCTGCAGAATTGCGAATCAATCCCACCCTAGCTCTTGAACTTTTACCCTCGCCGCTCCTCACTCCGCTGTTCAACGCCACCTGAAGATTTGCATCCTGAACCACATACTGATAAGAACCCATAGAAAAGCACCGTCTCGCATCCAAATTGCTGCTACTAGTCTCCCCTTCCTCTCTCCTCACAGCAACATCATCAACCTTATTAGCAATTTGACTGTTATGGTTCCCATCACCACTATAAATCCCATTGCTCGCACTTCTAAATTTTCCAAGTCTAACAGGAAAAACTCTCTTCTCTGAAACAATCTCCTCTAATTCTGATACTTTTTCTTCATGGTTTTCATCTGGATTCTCCTCATCCTCCCTCAAGTCGTCAAAATCGAACATAGGATTTTCAATTGCAAGCCCCTGAATGAAGAGTGCTCCACGACACAAAGGGCACGTGGAATTCGAAAGAAGCCAAGTGTCAATGCAATTAAGATGAAAGGCATGGCCACAAATAGGAAGAAGCCTGAGTTTGTCATCATCAGAAAACTCACAAAGGCAGACAGCACAATCAAATGGCTCCTTTGCACCGACGATCTCCTTGTAAAGAAAAACTGGAAGCGCATCAATGAATGCTTGGTCGAGGCCAGAGTCATGGAGGTGAAAGAGCTGCTGAAGCTGCCTTTGTAGTGCATCTGAATCGCCCGTGATAGCTGTGTTTGTGCTGCGGTTGGAGCGGCGGGAAGCGGAAGGCCCTTTTTTTATGAGGAATCTGACAAGGAGATGAAGAAGGCCGGAGATGAAGAAGATGACTGCAAGGATTACAATGATGAAGAGCACCGCAGGGCTGATTCTGCTATTGCTTGCGGGTAGGGAAGGAGATGGCGGCGATTGGATTGAGGAAAGCGGCAAGGAGTCTTTCCTGAAAGCATTGCGTTGAGAATACTGGAAGCTATTTCTGCTGTCAATTTGAGAGAGAAACCAAGTAGTTTTAATCATCTCCTCTCTTGGTTTGGGAGAGAAGCCAAGGCATCTGAGGTGGGGAGGATTAAAGATTCAATCTTTAACTCGTTTAAGAACTGATCCAGATAATTTAGAGCAGGTAGGGCAAAAGATGCTCTTTTTTTTATCCTGAAGGGTGGATGAACCCCGGATCATTCAAAGGTGAGAAAGTGAACATAGGATTTAGAAATATCTAAAAAAATAAGAGGCAAGCTATCTTTTTTGCTTGCTTTTAGCACAGAACAAGCTCTGAAGAGGCAAAGAAGAGAAACTCAAATCTTGATTCTAATTTCTTATGAGTCCCTATTTCGTTTTGGGGAAGGTGAGGTAAGTGGGTGATGAACAATACAGTAGAAGAAAGAGAAAAAATGGATTTTTGAAGGATAGATACGAAGGTTACCTCTGATGTCTTGATAGAACTTGGCTCTCGCTTTACTTCCGCGCCCAAGAAACGAAACCCTAGAAATTTCAGTTCTTTCCTTTTCTATGTTTGAAATCTGATAATATTCCCAACAATCAAAAGGGCAAGGAGTGAAAAGTTGAGGGCAGCGGCTTGTCGAAGACGATTCTCTGTTTAAAAACCGGAGGAAAATTCAAGGGGTTTGAATCCTTCAAAATAAAAATTCCAAGTGCAATATAAAAGGGTATTGTGCAAGATCTGACCTCCAAATTTGTTCTTTAAGCTTCCACTTACAAATTTAATTATCCCTCTAACCTATTAATTACATTATTGAGAACCCTCTAACTACATTTCAAACAAATCTTCTAGCGGCTAGAATTTTAAAATATTGATGGAGATGCTTGCACCATGTAGAACAAGTAAGGAAAACAAAGAAGAATTGACTCTTACTAAAATAGAGTAAAGAAATTTGAAATATTTGGATCAGAGATCACAAGAATCCCAATAGATCTAATTTTAGACAAATTTTGAAAATGAACGGGTTTTTAAATCTAATCAAGCAAAATTAGCATGATTTAAGTTAAATTTAAGGAGCAGCAAAGGAAAAATGGTTGGCGTTTTGATATTAATGATTCCTTTTTTTTTAATGTTTTAGGGGAAAACTTTTTTTTTTAATCATTTTTAGTTGAAAACCTTATTGCACTTGAGGCTTTTTAAGCACCATCCAATCATTGGGATTTTTTGCTTTTTAAATTTTTTTAACTTCGATAACAAAATTCCAATTTTCTTTTTTAAAAATTTAAAAATTTTATTTAAAATGAGGCCTCCATGTTGGCCATTAAAAGGGAAGAATAAAATTAAGTATTATATTGATGAAAATATTCTAGTTGGATGGAGAGATTATTCTGTGCGAACAGGGAATGCAGTTCATAGTCTGGAGGCCAATTAGAATGCGTCACGTCGGCGGTATCAAGCCGGGTACCGAGTAGTATTGAGTCGGGTACCGAGCGGTACCGAGCCGTATCGAGCAACGTGTGACGTGACGTATTTTGATTAGCCATCAGACGATGTTCGGCATTCGCACAGAATAATTTCACGGTTGGATGAGTGACTTTACACTTAGAGATAGTAAAATATTGGAGTAGCTCCGGCGACAAATAAGATTAGAAAGAGCCACTTTAGATGGTTTGGTCACATAAAATATCGACCTTCTGATGTTACGATTAGGAGAGTAAACATATTAGATTTGGCTTTGTTAAGAAATATAGAGATAGAACAAAAAAGATTTGGTTATGAAGTATCACAAATGGCCTTTTATGCTAAATTTAAATAAGAATTTGACTCTTAATAAAATAAAATGGAGAAAAAGAATCATGTAGCCAACCCCACGTAGTGGAATAAATGCTTGGTTGTTATTGCAAAATTTTTTAAATTTATTAATAAAATTTGATGTTTTAAGATTCGAATAATTATTTAGCATAATTTAGTTATGACATGAGCATTTTTTAAAAATGTTTTTAATTTTTAGTTTTAAAATTAATGATATAAATCAAAATAAATTTATTATAATTTTTCTCTAAAAAAAGTGAACTTTAATGAATTAAAAAAAAATATTTATTCATTTAATATTTACTTGTTTAATTATTTATTTCGTTACTGCTATAGATAGGTAAGGAGCTAGGGTACGTATTTTAATTTGGCTAATGTATATTATATTGAGAGTCCAAAATTAATCTCATATTTTAATTTTTAATCATTTAGTGTATTTTATTAATGGATCTTACAAGTGATAATATATATTTTTTAAAAAATTATTGCCAGAAGTTTTGTAATATAGATTTATAATCTAATTAAAATTATTTTTAATTGTATAGATAGAGTCAAAATATTTTTTTCTAAATATAGATATCATAATCTAATTAAATGATAAAAAAAGGTTACATCCTTGCATTAAAAAAAAAAAATCAGCTACCGTTATCTATTAATTCGTGCTGCCCACAACCAACAGCTATAGATCATGTCAATGAAGAGAAATATGTATAAATTATTTTAAAAAAAATTAAATATTTTTAAACTGAAACAACAAGAAAGTCAATTTTTTATTTAAATTTAATTAAAAATCATTTTTAATACTCTCTAATCACATCTTTTTAGATCTACTTCCAACATTCTTGGCATAGGCTTGCTCTAAATTCATCCACTCTCATAACAAGGAGAGATTATTTTATGCGGACGATGAACTGCGATCTACTTCCAACATTCTTGGAATAGGCTTGCTCTAAATTCATCCACTATTCTAACAAGGAGAGATTATTTTATGCGGACGCCGAATGTAATTCATCGTCCGAAGACTAACTAATACGTCACGTCACGTCAGCGGTACAGAGCCACGGTAGTTTATTTTACTTTAGGTTTTAAGGTTGATCCCTACAATTTAAGTTTTCAATAAATACAAAAAAATAATAATAATAATAAAATGTAATACACATATTATTTATTTTATTTGTGTAATACAATATTGAATATTTAATATTAGCTTATAATAAAGTAAATAAAGTGCATCAGTGAAGTGCTGATTCGGCAATCGTAATTAGCACTTGGAAAGTTGAGAATGACAAAGACATGTATAATATATAATTAATATATGATTAAATAGTTAAATATTAAGATAAGTTTACTTAATTAATAGAATAAATATTATTAATTTAATATATATTATTTTTTAAACTATTCTGATATAAATTGAATTAAAATATTTCTGAAATATTTTTTTCGGCGAGTAAAAAAAGGCTCTGATGCAACTTATAATATAAGATGTCAAATAAGAAAGGAATAATTATTTTTCCACCTTCAAAATTATGTTCTCAATGACTTAAAATAATTTAAAATCACTATTAATTTTTGTTCACAAATCTTGTTTTTTAGTTTAATTTATTTTTATATTTTAATATAAAATAAAACATTTTTGATATCTTAACATATATTTTTTTTATTTATTTATGAGATGATAGTGAGAACGTTGATCATTAGTGTCAGCAGCAATAGTGATGGTGACAATGGAAGATGATTGTTGCTAGCGGCGCAACAGTGGCTAACAATGATGATGGTAGACGATGGTCATTGCCGGCAACGACTGATGATGTAGGTCAATTAAAATCACTAGTGATAGCATGGTCATGGATGCATGGCCAAAAACTTAGTTGGTTGCTAATGTCTTGTGATCATGGCAGACATTGACAATGGTGCTTAGAAGGTCAAAATATCTAAAAATAATTTAATTTGTAAAAAAGGAAAAAAAAATTTAAAAATGTAAAAAATAAAAGTGATCTAAAGAGTTATGTAGAAAATGACTTGCTCTTCCGGGCAAAAGTCCAAATATGAAAATTGTGAGTTTTTTTTTTTTTTCAAACCACCCCCTCAGAAGTTATAAATTTATAAAGCCATGCAATGGAATGCTCAGCTTGCAGATCACGGTGCTTCGAAATTAACAATTAAACCTTCCAATTTTGGTTCTGTTTTGCATAATAATGATTAAGCAATTACAGATTTAACCTCACAAATTTGTGCCCTCGGCGAGAAATAAGAAGATCTTTCGGGTAAACTGACAAAATTTAGTCACAAGATCGGCAATTGGACGCCCACTTTACTACGGCAGTTTTCACATATTTATGTACAACCTCCAACTTATTGATTTTTTTAATAGGAGATATTAGACTGTCATGACAGATATAAATGATGATAGCTATGGTTACCGTTATAATTAACTAATAGAGTTCGCCCTAATATTGGGAGGGCTGATTGAGTCGTCTAACTGCATTATTATTTGGTCATAGGAGGATATATTGTGAAATATTTCATATCAATATAAGAAATATTTTGTTAAGAATATTATTATTTTTATCTATTAATAGGCCTCTAATTTATTCGTATGGGGCATTCCAAAGAAGACTATAATATTTTGCATATCAAAGAGTTGTCTGAATTCTTAAAGAATTATTGAATTTTGAAGTTTGTTTAGATTTGAAAGAGAGGATAGGCTTTGAAGATAGATTATGTTGAATAGAGTTTAGGCGTTCATAAAGATTGCTCAAATTCTTGAGGAAGATTAATGCTTGGAAGACTGCAAATATAGTCAATGATTTCTTTAGGCTACCATGAGTGGGTTACGTTATAGCCATCCTCTTTTATACTTATATTGAATATAAATCTAAGTTTACCACTTAGTATCTTACATTGCAGTCACATGTGAAAATACTTATTTAGGGATGATAATGAATGAATCATTTAATAATAGATATGAAATAAATCCTCAAATAAGAAAATTTTCAAAAGTATGTTTGAAGAATTCATTATGGTTATACAAAAAATCAAAGTATTAATATTAAAGTTGATCCTTAACTTCTACCCTTTCTTGATATGAAACATAGAAGGGAGAGTCAAGCTAGATTAGTGCAACAACGTAGAAGGGAGAGTCAAGCTAGATTAGTATATAAAAGACTTTTTTAGCATAGAAGGGAGAGTCAAGCTAAATTAAAGAATCACAAATCAACGATAAAGTGAAATTTTATGAAAAATCAAGTATTCAATTTTAACTTTGCCTACCCATGTCTACCATTAACCTCGTAAGTATAAGAGTACATTAAAATTAGTGCAACAACGTAGATAACTTAGTATAATTACATGTAAAAGTGTGTGTTAAGCTTAGTATAGTTGGTTTTGTAGCAAACAAGCTATGTTGGAAGTTAGACCAAAGTCTTTTATATAAATATTATGCGATGGGTTTTTTAAGTAAAATTAGTCAACCATAAAGCAATCTATACAAGTGAAACTTAGTTGAACAATCTTTCAAATATTGTGAGCAATTTCACAAGTTTCTCAACCAAATTCAACATCTTAATGCTAAGGACCGAATTTTTCCTAGCACTCAAGTGGTTTATCAAAAATAGAACTCTGACTGCTTGAAGCTTCATGCAACTTGTTAAAAAGCAAATGACCAAAGTGGCAAATGATTTAAGCTAGTTTACAACCGATAACTTCTTCGTTCTCATTCAAATCTATATTGTTTTTTGATTGATTATATTCAAACGAATATGAGTGTACAACACCATGCAATCTTTGATATTAGTACGAATAAAAAAATATCATTATACATAACATTTCTCATAAATTAGCCCTACAACACTTGTAATATCACACGTTAATGTAAGATATCATAGGAAAATTTAC